ATTTAAAAACGAAACTAATAATATATTTACATGTCAATTGGAAAAATACGGTCGACGAGATCAAACAATTTGTACATGACCATCTCGTATCCTTCTAGCGTGGTTACATCAATAATCTTCAGTCGAAGAAGGAATAAGGAACAGTGCGTAAAACCCGCCGGCAACGGTAGAAGCTCCCATGAAGCAGACGCCGGCCCCGACGACGGGCCACGGCACGAGCACGGCGACCCTCCACGAGAACATCGCCGTGAGCGACGTCGTCGTGAGCCAGACGCCGATCTTGGCGCGGCCCCTGGCCGCCGGCGAGCCAGGCGGAGCGGTCTCGAAGAGGCGCAGGAAGCAGAAGAGCAGGACGAGGCTGGCGTAGGACGCGATGACGAAGACCATAGCGGCAGCGTCTCCCCATGACCTGTGGATCGCGAGTATCGAGTTCGCTGTGAGGAGAAGGAACCCTAGAACTGTGGCCATCAGTGGCGCCTTGTCGACGCTACTATCCCTAGGTACGATGAAGGAACAAATGTTCCCGTTGGAGGAGCAGGCTGCGTACGTGCTTATTATATAGGATAATAATGGGAGATATACGTTGTTCCTTTACAGATTTAACGAATGCTTTTATTAATTTAGGTTTAGAAAATACATATATTGGCAAACCACCACTGAAACCTCACTAGAAGGAACAGTGCGTAGAAACCCTCGGCCACCGTGGAACCAGCCATCCAGCAGACAGCAGTCGAGACGGGCCACGGCAAGAGCGCCGACTGAATGGAGCAGACAACAGAGAGACACAAATCGAATTTATTGCAGGAACTAACGAAACAAGCAGTTCCGGCGGCATAACACACACGAGGAAGAAACCGACGATTCTGATTGATAGGCAATGCAACAAATACGGATTCAGACAACACGAGGAAACCGACGATTCTGGAAGAACGCCCAGAACCCAGCAATACGTACCCACACCAGCACCGCAGCACGCCACGGCCGGGAGGCATGAGCGGAGCCCACCCAGGACGCCAACATCGCCGTGAGCACCACGTCCCCTTGCTAGTGCTGCCCCTAGTCGCTGGCGCGAGCCTGGGCGAATGCACGGACAAAAAGACCCATCAGAACCACAAGGACGACGTAGGACACGACCACGAACGCCGCCGAGCCCGGGTCGCGCCGCGCGTCGTAGGTGTCGAGCGCCGCGGTGCACGTCAGCACGGCGAGGCCCACTGTGGCCAGCGCGGAGTATTGCTCGCCCATGTTGATCCTGGCGCCGCCTTCCCCGCCGCGGACCTGATCGATCTCGCGGAGGCAGAGGAAGACGAGGACGCCGACAGCCAGCGGCATGATCGGCGCCACCCTCCAGGCGAACATGGCCGTGAGCAGCGTCGTCAGCGCCCACACCGTGGCCATCTCGAACTCACGGAGGCGGAGGACGAGCAGCAAGAGCGCGGCGACCGCGACGAGGACGAAGGCGACGGAGCCGGCGTCGTCCCAGGAGTTGTAGATGGCCAGCGCCGAGTTCAAGATCAGGGCGCCGAAGCCTAGCTTCGTGGCCGCCGGCGAGCCAGGCGGACCGGTCTCGAAGAGGCGCAGGAAGTAGAAGAGCAGGACGAGGCTGGCGTACGACGCGATGACGAAGATCGTCGCGGCAGCGTCTCCCCATCCCCAAGACCTGTGGATCGCGAGTATCGAGTTCGCTGTGAGGAGAATGAACCCTAGAGCTGTGGCCATCAGTGGCGCCATGTCGACGCTACTATCCTAGGTACGATGAAGGAACAAATGTTCCCGATGGAGGAGCAGGCTGCGTACGTGCTTATTATATAGGATAATAATGGGAGATATACGTTGTGCCTTAACAGGGAGTAAGCTAAGGTATATAGACAACGCGCTCATGCAATTTCCGCCCTTTTCATAGCAACTACTGTAGCATTAACTTCCATACACACGCGATGCGCATGCACTATACGTACACGTCACGCACCCTTGCGTCCGTCTTCGATCGAGTTCAACTGTTGAAGCAACAAATGAAGTGAACATGCTGACGACGCATGACTGCCGCGATGATCGTTAGCGCTGCGTGCCGTGCCTGCTTCTGAGGTGGTATACGTTTATATCAGTGCTCTGTCAGATGTTTGGAGCTAGGTACTCCTACATGTCAGAGATTGAGGTGAATAATCATCCAGGGCCAGTTGTTTCCTCTACATAACAACTGGCCTTCGAGTTCGAGATTTATGTGCCTTGTTGGACCAGGACCGCCGACAGGCCAGGTCACGAGACGTACGACAGCGACAGTCGTCTTCAAGTCGTTGTCGACGTATATCTCGAACCCTAATCCTGCTTGCCGTTTTAATTCAAAGAAGAGATTCCAGAAAACAGCTCTACATACACTACCTGCCGTCGCACCGCGTATATATATGTAGCTGCTGTACGTACGTCTGGTTGACTCTCGGTGACTCGGTGTTCATATTGTTCGAAAAGCACGTACGCAGGGTTAGGTTGCTTTGGGAATTTTCCATTCTCTTATTAGTGGAATCTGGAAGTACATCTCCTTACAACATGCATCCCTGGAAATTGCGGATCCATCGTACATGCATCTCGACGAATCACGTACGTGGGCGTGGGCCGGCCGGCCTTCGTCACCTTGACTCGATCGATCCTATGGTCGAGACCTATGGGCGCCGATTTAATGACTCCGAGTGAATCCACTGATTAATAAGATGATAACTTCGAAGCCAACATATTAAGTTTTTATGAAATCACATCCATTCTCTTATATTATACAGATTACTGTCATCTCCATCACTGAAACTCTCAATTACATCCCCACATAAATTATTTAATTTAGTACTCCAGCAAATTGATATCATCCTGAGTCTCCCAGGTCACCGCCAACCCACGCGCGGCGACACTAGCCGCGCCTAATGTCAGGGCGTCAGAGATGCGCATTTTAATTTGAAGCAATTGAACAATCAAACCAAGACCTGCCATTCTGTCAAAGTACGATGTATAAGTATAGATAGTCTATCACAGATGCATACGCCGCGTCAAGTTAAGTCCATTTGGATTACGGCGTGGCTAGCCTCCGCATGCTAGTCCCCATCCGCATGCTCATGCGACTGCAGCGCCTATACGCCCCGCCCCGCATGCCGCAAGCAACTGCTGTGTTTGTACATCTGCCCCGCATGCTGGTGCGCCTATGAATAGGGATGAAAACAGTACGGATATTTTTTGACCGTATTCGAGACCGAATTCATTTAGAGGGTTCAGATCTGTCCGTATTCGAGTCCGGATATTTAACATCTGATACCGTATCCGTATCCGAATACTTAAATCGCATATTTATGATGCCGATATCCAATCGTATCCTATCCGGCATGGCTGACACTATCCGTATTCGAATCTAAATCCGACTAAAAATATGAAAACAAATGTAATATCAGCGATATCCGTCCGTATCCGATCCGTTTTCATCCCTATCTACGAATGCAGTTATGCGCTTCATGCCTGGTGATGCCCACGCTCGTGCCTGTTGATGTGCATGCAGGTGGGGGCCATCCATGCCCGCTTCGCTTTTAGTGCACATGGGGAAACAGCCGCAGGGACCACCTCCGCATGCGCCCGTTTCCTGTGCCTACTAATGTTGCAACATGAAGCACTTCTGCAACATACATTTGAAAATAGGCAAAACATTTGCAATATACGCCTGCAACATATATGTATAGCAACTGCAACATATGCAACATTCAGATAAAATACTTGCAACATACGTCTGAAATAGATGAAATATTTTGAATAGACGTTTGCAACATATGTATATAGCCACTGAAACATATGCAACATTCAAATATAACACTTGCAATATACGTCGAAAACAGATGAAACATACACATGTAACATACGTGTATAGCTATTGTAACATATGCAACATCCAGATAAAACATAATCTAAACGCATGACACATACGAAGCTCGGTGCCATAGAGTATGCAGGCCCCGCGCTCCTACTCTCTCTGCCGGTCACTCTCTCTCCCCCACGCCCCATGCCGAATGAGTGGTTGCACGAGCTCACAAGCGCTGCCCCACGCCGCGTACACCCCACGTTGAACGAGTGGCCGCACATGTTCCCATGCACTATCCCGTAGAAAGGACCGGTGCAGGCTCTTTTTTTCTTGGCTGTCACGCGCGGGGTCAGTTCGTACCGACGGAAGGACCAAATTCATTGCCAGGGCCTTGTTTAGATTTCAAGTTTTTTCACTCTCTCTCCATCACATCAAATCTTTGGACACATGCATGGAGTATTAAATGTAGATAAAAAAATAACTAATTACACAGTTTGATTGTAAATTACGAGACGAATCTTTTGAGCCTAGTTAGGCCATGAGTGGACAATAATTGTCAAATACAAACGAAAGTGCTACAATGTCAAATACTGATTCCTAACCGCGAACTAAACAAGGCCCAGGTCTACATACGCGTCAACATTCGCTAAACCTGCAGGAAGGTACCACGAGGCGAGCTCATCTCTATACAAAGAGCTGTCCTGCACACTCACGTTTTTCTTATGATTTTTGGAGGCAGACGCGGCGATGCACAAAGACTAAAAGATGGTGTGGAAGGTGAATCAGCTGCACGTCAGAAGCTCGGATGGCTGTCATCCTACGGCAGTGCCACCCCCACCGCAGGGCACGACACGTCATTCTGAGTCAGATGCCCGATGGCAAGGCTCCGTGCGATGCGATCGCGAAATGGCGGCCACGTCGCGCGTGTCGGACACAACACAATTCACAGCGCGTGCGGTGCGAGCCAGGCCCAGCATGAACTGAGGGATAGGGAAGAGTTGAACAAAACTTGGCCTCGATCGTACGCGCCGCCGCGTCTTCAGTCGTCTGTCCAAACGACGACCCGGCCACTGGTACAAAAGGAAGAAGCCTTCGCCTTTCACCAGCAGCCGTATATCAACTCTTGTGCTCGCTTTGTCCCCCTCTCCGCGCGCGGAAGATCGTTCGATTTCACATGGCCGACCGAGGATATTCCACCCTGACCAAGCTCGGCTTGGGCGCCCTGACCTTCAACTCGGCGCTCGCCATCTACAACTCCTGGGGTGACGCCGGCTCCGTGGCGTTCGTGCTCGGCGCGGACGCAGCGCTCGTGCTGCTCTTCCTCTGCCTCCGTGAGTTTGAGCGGGGCGGCGGCCGGGGCAGCGTGGCCGCGGTGATCTGGCTCTTGGCCGTCGCCACGGCCGCAGGAGGGTTCTGGGCGTTTTTCCTTAATTAATTAATGCTTTGGAGACAGTCGATGTCAATCTGCGTTTCGCTGCCGGGCGTGTTCATTTCCTGTTTTGCTTCCTGCACTTTCTTGTATTGTTTCCCAGTTCGTCACTTTGAATAAAATCTGCCTTCGAGTTTGCGCTGCTGGCAGAGAGTGGTCCTCTGCTTCTACCCCGTTGACCACCGCTCGTACTCGCCTCAGCGTGTGCTTGATTTGAGACATGGTAGGAGGGAACGGTCTTGTCCCTGATTTTTTAGGGTGGACAAATCTGTTCTGCGTTTGGTTGAGATATTTTTTGTTTATTCGGTAGAATGTGGCCATGAGCTTTGGTCACGTCAGTGTCACGTCCACAGCCACGTAATTTGTAGCCTTCAATCTCATGGTGCCGAGACGTGTTACCTCAGCGACGTAGGGCATGGCGTTGAGAAAATGATCCAAAGTTAAATTTACATCGTCCAGTGGTGTAAACGTGAATTTTAACAAAAAAAAAAGGGCCAAATTTGCACACAAAAAAACGGCCAAATATGGGGTATATTCCACTCGAAAATGGTCCCGTCCCTAACAGTCCTCAAACATCTTAAAAATAGAATTAATTCATTCCATCATCCTCTATTCGTCCATCTCAGAACCAAACACATACTAAGCGCCGTTCATAAAATGAACCAAATCATATCATATGGCCATATGGGAGTTGAGCTATTATCGCCGTCGGCTTGGTATGAATAGCTAGGCGGGCGCCGCTTCGGTCAGTCGGCTGGCTGTGCCTTTGCACGTGTATGGAGCTTTGAATTTGAACACTGCTTAGTTACGATATAAACGTACGCTAGCGCCAAGGCACACGTTGCAAGTGTGTGCGTCAACGCGAGGGAGACATGGTGGATCGTACCAGTGTCCTTTCGTCGCTTCCACACGTTCAGCATCCATATCCGCCACTAATAAATGACCAAGCATAAATATCTTTCCTTGGCTTGATGGAAAAAATAGAAAAAAAATTATTTAACCTCTATCGACTATTGCATGATTCCCATTTACCTCATACAATTTAAAACTGGATTTTTTTTAGACTCTTATAACTGAACGTCCGATTTATCTCCTGGGCGGTTTTCAAAATGGTTTTGAATGAATTGGACGGTTTCAAAAGTTAGAAGAGTCTAAAATTCTATTTTTTTCATTGAGAGAAGTAAATCGGATTAGCACAATATAATCTAAGGTTCCGAGGTCAAACGAACTTTTTCGTGAAAAATAACAGCATTAATGGACCTACAATGGATTCCAGTAAACTTGTGTCTAGTTGACCCAAAAGCCTAGTAAACACTGGCTTCAGCAGGCCCACGGATCGTCCCCAGTCGAAGGAGCCGGCAACAAGGCCCACGTAGTGGTGACGGTGCCAAGGCGATCTTTGTTGGGCGGAGGAGTGGATGATGACTACTTCATCATCCAAAGACCTCCTTATCTACGTGGGGGAGCATGTTCGAGCATGGCTCGAATTCCTTCTGCCCGACAGCATCCGCGACTGGGCGGATCTTAAGAGGGTCTTCGTCGAAAATTTTCAGGGGGCGTATGTCCGTCCTGGGAATTCCTGGGACCTCAAGAGCTGCCAGCAGGAGCCTAATGAGTCCCTGCGGGATTACATCCGCATGTTCTCAAAGCAGTGCCACTCCCTTCTTGATGTCGCCGACGCGACATCGCCGTCGCGTTCCTCTGCGGGACAACCTGCAAGTCCACGATCCACAAGCTCAGGTGTGTGAAGACCCGTACCACCGTGGCCGGCTCGACATCGCCATACGAACCACGCCTCTAGCGAGGAGGCGGTCGAGGTGGTCTTGATGGCAATCGTGGCGGGGGCAAGGCAAGGCCAAGCGCGAGGACCAAGGCGAGTGCCCCTTCACACAAAAAGGGTAAGAAGAACAAGAAGGATCGGCACCGACCAGCCAACCCACTTTGGTCGCCATGGCCGACCCTTGCAGACGGCAAGCAGCCCCAGTGAGGGTCAGCCGACCACTTGACAAGCTCATGGAGAGTCCATGTACCAACCATGCCTATCCCGTCAAACACCTCTACAAAAGACTGCGAGCTCCTCAAGCGCTTCCTGCGGTAAGCCGCCAAGCCAAAGGAAGGGAAAGGCAAGGAGGAGACGACCAAGAAAGGAGGCGCGGTGGGCAAGAATGAAGATGACTTCCCCAACCCCGAGGAATGCCTCATGATCTTTGAGGGATTCGACGCCATCCACTCCAAGCGCCAGCACAAGGTACGCTACAGAGAGGCATGTGCCACTGAGTCGGCCATCCCCTCTTTTCTTAGCTGGTCGGACTCCCCGATCACTTTTGATCAGAGAGACCATCCTTCCCACGTCGCCTGACCGGGTCGCTACCTGTTCATCGTCGACCCCATCATCCGCAAGAAGAGCCTCACTAAGGTGCTGATGGATGGAGGCAGCGGCCTCAACATTCTCTACGTCGACACCCTAGACGCCATGCACATCCCCCGGTAGGAGCTCCGCCCAGTGAGCTCTCCCTTCCACGGCGTGATCCCGGGGACGCAGGCATACCCACTCGGGCAGATTGACCTACCTGTCACGTTTGGCGACCATGCCAACTCCCACTCAGAGGTCATAACCTTCGAGGTAGTGGACTTTCTAGGGTCCTACCACGCCATCTTGGGGCGGCCATGCTACGCCAAGTCCATGGCGATCCCCAACTACACCTACCTCAAGCTGAAGATGTCGGGGCCGAACAGCATCATCACCGTAGGTAACACCTTCTCACACACCTACACATGCGACCGCGAGCATTATGAGCTCGCCACTGCCGTCATCAACTCCACCGAGCTCCCGGAGCTCGAGAATTCGGTGGCTCCAGCAGTCCCTGATCGCAATGGGCAGACCTCCTCAAGCAACTTCCATCCGAACGAGGAAACCAAGGCGGTGGAGATCGACCCCAGCAACCCAACCAAGAAGGTGCGGATAGGGACCAAGCTCCCGGCCAAATAGGAAAGCGAGCTCGCCGACTTCCTATGCGCAAATCGCGATGTCTTCGCGTGGAAGCCTTCTGACATGCTAGGCATACCGAGGGAGGTCAGCGAGCATGCACTACACGTCGTCCCGGGCTCAAAGCCTATCAAGCAACGCATGTGTTGTTTGACCACGAGAGGCGCAGGGCCATAGGCGAGGAGATCGCCAAACTTCTGATAGCCGGATTTGTCAAAGAGGTATACCACTCTGACTGGCCAGGTAATCCTATTCTTGTGAAAAAGAAGAATGGGAAATGGAGAATGTGTGTTGACTATACTGGCGTCAACATGGCATGCCCAAAGGACCACTTCTCTTTACCATGCATAGATCAGATAGTCGACTCCACCCCAGGGTGTAAAATTCTCTCCTTCCTAGATGTCTACTCAGGCCACCACCAGATCATGATGAAAGAGTCCGACCAGGTCACGACTTCATTCATCACCTCGTATGGTTCATACTGTTACGTAACCATGCCTTTCGATCTAAAGAATGCTGGTGCCACCAATCAACGGTGCATGCAGCGATGCTTCACCGACCAAATCGACCCGCCCGACCAACCTGACAAAGCTGAGCGGCCAAAACCAACAATCACCGTATATGTAGATGACATAGTGGTGAAAACAACTCAAGCTAGCGACCTGATCATAAACTTGGCCGCCACATTCGTGAACCTTCGAAGGTTCAGCGTCAAATTGAATCCCGAAAAATGTGTTTTCGGGGTTTCGAAGGGGAAGCTGCTCGGATACATCGTGTCCGAGTGCGGCATCGAAGCCAACCCCAAAAAAATCATGGCCATCTCCAACATGGGCCCTATACGCAACGTCAAGGGCGTACAAAGGCTTACATGCTATTTGGCCGCCCTAAGCCGGTTCATCTCCCGACTAGGTGAACGGGGGATGCCTCACTACAAACTTCTCAAAAAAGATAGACGCATTCGGACAAAGGAGGCACAACAGGCTTTGGACAGCTTCAAAGCATCACTAACGTCAGCCCCAATCCCCGTCGCTCCCGAACGGGGAGAATTCCTCCTCCTCTACATCGTGGCAAGCAACCACGTTGTGAGCGCCGCCCTCGTCGTTGAGAGGGAGGAGCCAGGACACCCCCTGAAGGTCCAACGACCGGTGTACTTCGTCGGTGAGGTACTCACCGATGCCAAAATTTGCTACCCCTAGGTTCAAGCTTACGTACACACCGTCTTGATGGCGACACGGAAGCTCCTCGCTACTTGACGACCATGAGGTCATGGTCGTCACCTCATCTCCACTTTCGGCGAGGTCGTCACCTCGAATCACTTGCGGTTCAAATTTGACTTATACAAAAATTCCTGAAAATATAATAAATTAATTAAATATAGCAAACAGATCCAGAAATATACCAAATCTTAACATGGAGTATCACATGTTGTATGTGGACAGTAGAAAAAGTTTCAAGGTCAGAAGAGAAAAAAAAAACTTATTATTTCATGCAGTTATAGTTCAAATTTAATTTATATCAATTAAAATTCTATAATTGCACTTAATAAATTAAAATTATCAAACGGATCCAAAAAATTACCAAAATTACACATGAATTAATCTATGTTCTCTGTTGTCTATACAAAAAGTTTTGAAGTCCAACCCCAATTCGATTAGTCACTTTTTGACTCCAAATCTTACGAATCCTTCTCAACGCTCGTTTCTTCTTACGAGATACTTCGGTTTATAAATATCGTACGTGATAGATTGTGTGAAAACTTCTCAAATTTTTACCACAGCCTCCACATATCATATAATGAGATCTTGACAAATCTCATGATTTTCAAACTTCGTTTGCTTTTTATAGAATTTAAAAATAATTCGGCTACACGTTCATGGTCGTGTTTCGTAAATAAGATGTTTCATTTCCCGTATAAGGCCTCACCCTGCACTCAAGAACATGAATATCATTTTTTCACTCATTTTATTCCATTAATTGAATTACTTGCAGTTCAAATTTGAGTTATACCAAAAATTCCTTT